TGACTAAATTGTTTGTAGCATGGTGATTGTTGCCAAATTTTTTATGTAACTAATGCATGTTTTCTACAAACTTTACTATTTAAAATATTGTTTTTAATAACAAAATGTATTATAACATTTTTAATTTTAAAAAAATTACACTATTTAATTTTTTTAAATTAATATTTTTTTCAATACTTACATAATTTTCAAAATATTTGTTTAACTTTAAATCTATAGAATTTGCCTCAGCAAATTGAAAAATTGCAAGACACAATTTCAATTAGTTATAGTACCGTACATTTTAAAAATGCACTATAAACTTAATAATGTGTATGTGTTTGTGGTATATAACAGGAGATTACACAATGTTTTGCTGTGGTAATCGCTATATAATTATTTTATAGATTCTGATATGATCACTTGAGATGATAAAGATCGTAATTCACATAAATATAATCAGGTAGCAGCAACCGTGTCCATTTAACGTGGATAATTTAAATTTTGGAAGAATTATACCTTAATTATGTCATCTGTTACACTAATTTTTTTCCATCTAAATATCTATAATAAGGCGTATAAGGATTTTTATTAAATATGCTAAATTATTCAGTTAAAAAGTTACTAATTTTAGGTAAGTTACTGCACGTTAACGATGTTCTCGTAAGCTTGTGATAAGTTTAGATGTACGGCACGAATGGGTTGGCTGGACCGGGGAAGGACCACGCTCGCAGAGTATCAGCATATAAGATGTTAATGCTGCTGTGCTTCGTATGGTGAGTGTTTATTGGAGAACCTCTTTACTGCAAACGATAAGCTTCGTTTCCACTAAAAATCTACTTTAAAATCACATGATAATTTTAGGCATACATAGCGTTACATCTGTATTAATATTGTAACTTTCGTAGTGTGCAGTGTTTCATAACATCATTTCCTCGTATTTTTTTTATAGAATAATGGTGACAAACGAGCATACAGTCCAACTGATGGTAAGTGGATGCTGTTGCCTATAGAGGTCTACATTTATCCTCAACTAAGACAGATGCAGATGGGTTATCACCCCTGAGGAATGAGATGGAATGCCTTGTTTCCAGAAAAATGAATCTCCGGTTCCCTACACTCACCATACGAAGCATAGCAGCATTAAGCTCCTATTTTACGCTGGTATTCTGTAACGGCGTGGTCCTATCCCGATCGAGACGACGCATTCGTGCTACAATCATAATATACCTGATGCGTGGGTCTTAAACAATTTTTTTACACTTATCAACTCGAGCCCGTCTTTTTGAGCTGAAATACTGAGAAATCCAGCGGCAATAAAGTTCTAACTTTTAAATGTTGATGTGTTTTTTTTTTTAATTTAGATCATACCAATACCCAACTGTCCTTGAACCTACATTTAAAAGAACCAACATTTAACAGAACCAACATTTTCCTCAGTGATCGCAGTTGATGTTCAACCTTTACGAATTTCATCACGGCAAGAATCACGGTCGTATACTGTTTATATATCGTATTACGATCATATACTGCGTACCAACACCTTATGGGGCTCAATTGAAGAGCATACCTCTCAAAAGCATTTTGAAGATGAGCAGTGCAATCGTACAGAGATTGAACTTTTAAAATTATAAATAATCGTCGCCCTAAAATCTTTTCACGTGAATTCTATTTTTGCTACGGATGACGAACTACAACTTGTGATAAAAAAATACAAACATTATCAGCAAGCGGCATGGAGTGCAGAACTTTCAGTATGCTCTAAGTATACCAATCTTTAATTATGATGGCCCTCTAGGATGAAACTCAAGTCGTTCGTATATTATTATATATTTGATACGAGTGCCTACTTCCGAGCAGTCTCATTCATTATCTATTTTATTAATTGTGTAGTTTTCATCATTAGAATTCATTAGAATCATCTAATTAAATAACTGAGGCATTCGGACTCCGAAGGACTTATTATTATCATAAACAAATAATAATTAATGAAATAATTAATTTTCCACCTTATCTATATATATATATATATATATATATATATATATATATATATATATAGCAATCGATGTGTTACAAATTTAGAAAATTATATTATTTTCTAAATTCGGAACACATCGATTGCTTGGCGGTAAAAATAGGTTACGAGTAGAAACATTCAACTAATATTGTACATTATACTTCAATGATTAAAGGATAGTAACACACCTAGATGGATCCCCGAACAGAAGTGAAGCTCTACATGTAAGGAGCTCTACGTTACGATTAATAATCGCAAAGTCCATTTCTACTGATGATGCTTAGTTAAGGGGCAAATCACTTGTAGCATTCTACTATAAAACTATAAACACACCAATAATAAATAGGCTGGGTTTTAACTCCTAACATTATTTTTGCAAATTCGATTAAAAACAAGATTTTTAGCTTTTTGGGCAAACAACGTGTCGTATTATCTTTACAGAGCATGTGTAAAATGCTACATTTTAAGGAATAGTTTAAATGTTAATTAATATAGAATTCTATTCTTAATTCTCTCACGTTAATTCTATACGTGGTAGAGCCATGCTGCAGCTGTATTACTGGTGTGGTTGTGGCACGAATGGGTCGGCTCGACCGAGGAAGGACCACGCCCTCACAGAATACCAGCGTAAAATAGCAGCTAAATACTGCTGTGTTTCGTATGGTGAGTGTAGATAACTGGAGACCCATTTTACTGAAAAAGACGCATTCCATCTTAGTCCTCACGGGTGACGACGCATCTGCATTTTGATTCTTCATTTGAGATAAATGTAGATGTCTATGGGTCACAGCAGCCACTTGCAATCGGGTGGACTGTGTGCTCGTTTGTTATCCTATCCTATAAAAAAAAATTAAATTAAAGGACATTATTTATAGTACACAAACTATAGATTATTATGTTTTTTTTTTTTGATGAAAATGATATAATAAATTTAGTCAAAATATTAAAAAATAATTTATAATTAAAAATAAGGTTAATCAAACGTAATAGAATCTGTAAAAGTAGTTTTATTCAATGTGTAGTGTTCGCGTAAATATAAAAAATCATAAATAATTTATAATTCGTCATTAAAACATTCATTTAAATTATAATAACTTTTTACCATAAATATTTTCTTAAGTACTATTTCAAATTTACGAAACTGGAGAGCTTTTATTATATTAGGTAAATCGGTAAATCGTTGTAAACCCTTACAACCATGTAGTAGGGACCATTTTCAAATATGTGAGATATTATGTTAGGTGCAACTAGATTATAACCACGGTGACGTGCGCCGTATCAACTGGGTTATCTCCAATTCGTTAGAAATAATGAGGATTTTTTCGTAACAAAGCGGCATAATCCAAAAATGTGCATGCAGGTTATAGTTAATAAGTTATATCTAGGGAACAACCTTCTAAGGCAACGTTTTTGGGGCGTGTACCTCGGTAGAATTACCCCAAAATATGATACCATACGTATATCCAGGCAGCGGCGTGGCTGTGGTACTCAATAAGCGCACACTGCTCGTTTGTATCCTTACGTAGCTCCCGCAGGGCATAGCAAAAGTTGCTCAACTTACTCTCTACATTATTTTTCCATGAAAAACTTGAGTCTATTGTCATCCCGAGGAGCGAAAATGTGCGAACTTCCTCAATATTTATACCTTGGTAAGATACAGCGAGTGGGACTTCTGTTCTCTGATATGGGCGAAACTGCATTACTTTGGTCTTTTCAATATTAATAATAAACCTAATACATCTAATTTATCCACAATCTTCTAAGGCATTGAACTATTTTTGCCTGCAAACTACTGAGATTGTTTTGTTCACAAGTAATTATAACTGTCGCATCATCCGCAAATAAAACGACTCTATGTGGTACTACTGAAGGGCGTTCGTTGATATAAGTAGAGAACAACAAGCATCTTAGGACGCTACCCTGCGGTATGGAACCTGTTACTGTTGCAGTGGACGAGTTTCTTTTATTTATCACTCTTCTATTTTCATTTCAATGTAATACCTTTTTTTTGTATAGGGTGACAAACGAGCACACAGTCTACCTGATGGTAAGTGGTTGCTGTGGCCCATAGACATCTACATCTATCTTCCTTTGTGAATCCAAATGCAGATGCGTTGTCACCCGTAAGAACTAAGATGGAATGCCTCTTTTCCAGGGTCTCCGGTTCTCTACACTCACCATACGAAACAGCAGTGTTAAGCTGCTATTTTACGCTGGTATTCTGTGAGTGCGTGGTCTCTCCCCGGTCAAGCCGACCCATTCGTGCTACAACTATACTACTAATATAGCTGCAGTATGGCTCTACCTGTACATACTGTTTTCTATTCGCAATATAAGAAGAAAGCCTTTCATGCGTGCATATATATAGAACTAGGAATATGGCTTTTCTAGCAAGAGACCATGCAAAACGCAATCGTATGCTTTGGAAAAGTCTATAAAATGGCTACAGCACATCTTCTCTCATTAAGAGCAATCAGAATTTCTAAGACGCAGTCAAATACAGCTGACATGGTAGAATGATATTTTCGGAATCTATGCTAATATCTATTTAAAATACCGTATTTTTATGAGAAATGTCTGCATAATCTTGCGCACTTACGCCAGACGTAAAATATCCAGACCGGTATAGGACAACAGCGTTAAAGATGCGAAGCATCTGGTACCTAATACTATAATTCGTCTGCCAAGCGTGCTGAGTAAGGCAAATGCTTTCTACAATTGGATATCAGCAGTCCCACCTCTTTTTTTTCGAGATTTTACGGGCTGATATGAAGTAGTAAGAAAGTGGAAATGTGACACTCTTTCGATGGATTCTTTAAATTACAAATTCCGTACATCACAGATTATTTTTACATACCAGCAAACAAAAACTACAATTTCAAATGAAACGACAAATATATTATCAGTCAGCAAAATAAAACACAAATCATTTTTCAACTGGAAATATTATTATAAATAATAAATTTAATAAAATACTACGTCCAAAACCTTATTTTCTCTCTTAAAGAGCTTTCTTCTTAGTAAAATTAGAATTCATAACAAGGCACATGAGGTTCCCTTTTTTTGATAGTAGTAAAACTTTCAACTTGTATTCACCGTAAAAGAATGAGGTTCCAAAAAACATATATGAAATTTCCGTAAAATTTGCGGTTAACATGTAGTTTTCCTAGAAATATTAAAACGACAAAATTAATACTTAAAAAAACAAAAGGAAAGCATACATGGTATAATCAATGTAAAGATGTTCATTGCTGCCGTAAATGTCAGAATTTATTGACAGAGTGTAAGTACTGCAAAATAATCTACTTTGTGATGTAATGCAAGCTATCATTAAGTGTTGGTTTCTAGGTTTTTAATTATACTCTTCTTACAATAGAGTACAAATGCCGTGTGTAAATATAAAAATTTACGATAACGGTATCTTGCGGTAGGTAGTATTCCATCCTTTAAACTTGGTAACTTGTAAAAATTTTTGTCAAAAAGAGGCTTCGTGAGGAAAAGAATTTCTGTTGTTTTTTTTTCGGAGTATGGAAGTGTAGTATATGAGCCACATAATATATTGTACAAAACACAACCTACGTACGACCCACGCGTTTATGATACAAATTATATACATATTTATATATATATATATATATATATATATATATATATATATATATACATTATTATATCATTTATTTATTCATTATATATATATATATATATATAATGAATAAATAAATGATATAATAATGATAAATATATTATATAATGAATTTCTAAAGTGCTTCCTATTTTGCCGTAAATTTATCAGATACTGTAAAAAATACTCACTTGCTTAAATATAGATAAATAAGTGCATACCTGTTTTAAAACACAGTTTTTAGCGTATTTTTCAATAAAACTGGCAACAGCGTAATGTTGACACGGATTATTCACTTTGTAGCTCCATAACAAACTAGTACGGTTATCCTTTACGGTGTGAACTATTATTTTAATCTGTGACAACAAAATTAACAATTTTATTTAATTGTGACTGCAATAGCACGATGAAGAAATAGATAGGCTTTTTATTAATAACTAGCTGTCTCTCGCGACTTCGCCCGCGTGAAATTTGCTACGATTTCATGGGTTTTAATTTTTTTACGCGGAACTCTAATCCTTTTTCTAAAACAAAAGTATCCTAAGTTACTCCTTATAACATTAGCCATCTGCCGGTGAAAGTCCCGTAAAAATCGGTCTAGCTGTTTCGGAGATTAGTCGGAACAAACAGACCGACAGAAAATTTTTAAAAATTGTTTTTTTGTTATTAGTACCGTATATACTTTCATATGCATTTAGTAAAAAGCCGTTATTTTAACATTACAAACAGACACTTCAATTTTATATATTTGTATATGCGAGGGTGGGTTCTTAGAAAATCAAAAACTGAAACAAACTAGCAAGTTATTAGTATTATTATATCTTTTCAAAATAGTGTCCAATTACATCAACACATCGCTGCAACCGATGGAGCCACTGAGAAAAGCACTTTGCCCACACGTCCTTAGGGGTCTTTTCGACGGAATTTTGAAATGCAGCCACTGCTTCCTCGGCGTCCATAAAACGTTTTCCTCGAAGTTTTTCTTTTATTCTCGGAAATAAATAAATAAAAATTGCAAGGTGCGAGGTCAGGTCTATATTGCTGAGACGCTGTCGTGTTGAAGGAGGATCCTATTGCGAGGTCTTTTCTCCCGAACTTTTTCCAAGACAAGTGGCAAACATTTGTTAGTGTACCACTCTGCAGTAACTGCTTATCGATTCTCTAAAACAATTATTGCGTAATGACCTGTCCTTCCGAAGAACGAGGCCACCATCTTTTTTTCCACGCTTCGACCTCTCTTCACTTTAGTTGGCAACTCCTCGGAAGGAAATACCTAGACAGCAGACTTTTTTTAAAAAACGATACCTCCACACTAGGATTTTCTCCTGTATCGTGGGGGCAGTTTACATACATACATTTCACAAGGACAAATACTGTCTTTTAGTTTAGGATCATAACAATAAATCCAGCTTTCGTCACCCGTAAGTTTGTCGAACACAGCATTTGAGTCACTTTCGTTAAATCTTTGAACCATTTCATGACACCAATCAACACGACGGAGTTTTTGGCCGTCTGTCAAATTATGAGGTATCCACCGGGCACAAAACTTCCTGACCGCTAAATGTTAATGGAGGATTTTGTGCACTTGACTCATACCAATGCCTAAGCTTGTCCGAACCTGCTGATAAGTCACTCTTTTGTCAGTCTCTGTCATACGTTTAAATTCATTAAACCAGTTGTTAACAGTGGCACGAGATGGGGCTTCATCGGAAAAGGCCAATCGAAGTCTATCATAACTTTCTTGTTGACTTAAATGACATCGAAAGTCATAAAAAACCATTATACAAGAATTTTCTCGCGTTAAATTCATGTTGATGTGACAACAATTTTCAATTTGCCGCCAAATCATAAACAAATGACGAATTAATAAAATAATATTGGCAAAGGGTTCCATTTTCAAAGTTTGAAGTTATTTTTTTATCATATCGTTTATAAGTGGCCAGTTCTAAAAACTTTCAGTGTCGCCCTCGTATGTATATATAGGTATGTATAAAATAGATTTTACAAGTCCGCGTATGCGATTGTAACTGCCAAATTCGTTATATAACGAAAATTTACTACCTTTTACGCAGCACGATATTTATATGTGACTAGATTTTCTACACATTTGAGGCTCTGATTTTTTCAAAACTCCCGCTTTGCTAGAAAATCTGTCACTTTGTCAGAAGATATCATTTAGACAATTATTTTTAAACACATATCGGAATACACAAGATGTACCTGATATTTTCGTTTAGATTAATCTTAAGTCTCTGCCAGAATAAAACTGACTTATGCCGCCACGCCATTATAATAAAATTTAATAAATACATTTGATTTCCACACGTACCTCATCAATTCGTGCCGGTGCTAATAACGTGCAATTGAACTGAGATACGTAACTGTCACCTTCCTTTACAAGAGTTGTAGAGAAAAATGTCAGATTCTTTAGTTTTGGGCCACTACAAATTTCGTAGCGACTCCAATTTAAGTCATAAGGGCCCTGAAAAAAAGCAACTAAATTTAAACCAAAATTTATATGTGGGCCGCACAGCTTGCTGATCCGTTGGGCAATGAAAGGTGCTCTTGTTCCAAGGATATCATTACGAAGTCTATCACACAGAGAAATTAGGATACACGAGGATAACCCTCTTCATAACTCGCTGAGCGACCTTCAGCTTCCTCCAGCTTCCAGCTTCAGCTTCCCATAGGGCCAGCAATGAAGGACCACGTTTCAGATACATATGTCATCATAGTCCTGTGTTGTACACTTTTGTTGTCAAGTTTTGAGATTATATGCTTAATATACAAGTTTTAAACGTGAGTAGAGCCATGCTATAGCTGCATTATGGTGGTAGCATGAATGGGTCCGCTCAACCAGGGAAGGACCACGCTCTCATGGAATACCAGCGTGAAATGTGTGTGTCGTATGGTGAACCGAAAACCCTATTTTCTGGAAACTGGGCATTCCATCTTAGTTTTTAGATTTTTAATCGAGAATAGATATAAATATCTATGGGTCAAAACATCCACTTACCATCCAGGTAGACTGTATGCTCGTTTTCCTCCTTCATTCTATTTTTTAAATAACTCGAAATGGTTGTAGCATGGTCGCATCGCACAGCGCATGTTTTCGACAAACTTTTTTATTTAAAATGCTGTTTTAAGTACAGCATGTATTATTACCATTTAAATTTTTTTTAATTGAACACCAACTCTTTTTTTTTTGTTGCAATACTCACATAATTGTCCCAGTCTTTGTTTAACTTTAAATCTATAGAATTTGCTTCATAAATTAGCAAAATCGCAAGACACACTTTCAATATAGTTATAAATCTGTACATTTTAAAAAATGCACTTTAAATTCAATAATGTGCTTGTGGTATACAACAAAAGAATAGGCAACGATTGCTGTGGTAATCACTTGTTATAGTATTCTAAGGTAATCACAATATAATTGTTTTATAGATTCTGTTGTGATTACAATCGTAATTTACATAAATATAGTCAGATAGCAGTAACCGTGTCCATTTAACGTAAATAATTTAAACTTTGTTAACATTATTCCGTGATTATCTTATTTATTATACTAAATGTTTTTGCCACTGTGAGATTTAGAAGATGTTTTCTTCCTCGCACGACTTCCCTGTGGAATCGATTACCATCAGCGATTTTTCCGGACCGATACGACTTAGGGACCTTCAAGAAAAGAGCGTACTCCTTTTTAAAAGGCCGGCAACATCTGCAATTCCCTCCCTGGTGTTGCAGTTCTTCATGGGCGGCGGTAGTCACTTACCATCAGGTGAGCCGCATGTTCGTTTGCTCCCTCTCCTATAAAAAATAATCTAAAACAGCCGTATAAGAAACTTTAAAATGTGCTAAATTATTCAGCAAAATATTACTAAATTTAAGGTAAATTATTGCACGTTAATTGTGTCTTAAGTAATATAAGCAGTGAGTAAAATTAATATGACACTTTGTGGTTAGAATAATATACTGGATGACTTTTATACCGTCTGGAAAAAAGAGGGTGTAACAGCAGTGGCGAAGCTAGGGCTCCAAGCTAGGGCAAGCCCAAGATATGATTATGTTGTTTTTAGCAGTTTTATAAAAATACACCAATCTTGATCTGTCTCCACTCTTCAGTTTCATATTCAGTGCTGTCGAGGACGTGTTTAACAAAGCACACTACTGCTAGATAGATTCTATGACATATCAGCAATTGCATACATTTTGTGGCTTTGAAAAAAGCCGTTTGGGTTTGCTTGAGCGAAAGAAAAAGATATTTACATACAATACAATACATTAAAAAAAGCATGAACAAAGTACAAACAAACTATATAAAAAATAAAAAATAAATTATATAAATTTATATATTCTAAAGTCGTCTCTAGATTTGATTACGTCCACGTAAAATGTTGGTGAACGTTTTAATTGTACTAATGACTGTTTTTCAATTGCAATAATTGATAAGTCTGAAAGACGCTCTTGACCTTGTTTATTTCTCAAATAAGTATGGATGCACTTCAGAAATGAGAAAACACGTTCTGCAGAGGAACTTGTGGCTGGAATAGTTAGGACAAGATAAGCTAACTTTAAAAGCTGGGGAAAGGCCTCTTCAAGACTATTTCAAAACTATTCGAAAACATTGCGGTCTTTTAATTCAGGGGACGAATACAATGAAATCAATTGGTTTTTCAATGTTTGTTTATCAAAATGGTTTGCGTTATTTTCATATAATTAATCTAATGCCTCCAAAGGAAAATATGAACGATATTTTTACAAATTAAAATTTTTCCAGTTGTTGAACAATTGGAAAAATTTTAATTTGTAAATTTCAGAATATCGGCCATTAATTTATGAAGATATGTTACCAATTATTTCAACAAAAAGTCGTTTGTATTCTATTTGAGCACAGCGATGGCACAGAACACACGCGGGGGGGGGGGGGGGGGTTCGAGGGCCAAGGACAATTTTTCGAGCTGTGTGGGTCTAGGCACTTAACGTATCTGGGTGGGGCAGAGCAGTTGGCCGCCGCATGACCATAAAGTTAGCAGCGGTGGCACTGCGCCGGGAAACCGCGCCTGTGTGGGGGCTCAAACCTCACTCTCGACAGGCCGCACACTGTGCGTACCTGCCGGCAGATAGCTGAGGCCTTCGGGACGTTTATCAGGATCACAAGGGCAAGCGGGAATCGCCTCAATCACATGAGAAAAGAAACCGTACCATACAGATGCTTCACACAACCGCGTTATGATAGGCACACTACTACAAGGTTGAGGCGCGTGTGTGCGTGAGCACTGGCGGCTCGTCACATACAGGGAGAAACTGCTTTAAGCCGGCTTGATCAGTACTCAAACTCAGGGTTATGTAAAAAATAATAAGTGTCAAGAATAATTCGTATTAAATGAAATATAAAAAAGTGTTAATATTGCTTACTAATACCTACGTAGATTTAAATCTTATCGAGTTTGCCGCAAGAAATGTCACAGATTTCTATTAAGAACCGAACAACCTATAAATATCGGTAAAGATTCTTTTTTCAGCCATGAGAAGGGTTTTAATAAAGATAGAGTTCAGTCGGGTTCGGTGAATATTTTGACCTCGAAAGAACCATTGCATATATTGTTAGTAAAATATTAAAACGTGTGCAAGATTGTATATTTGTTATGCAATGTGAGTGCTTTATAATATACTATTTAAAAGAAAAACTTTAGATTTAGAATTTACCATTTAATTATAAGCCACAACAAATTGTTCAAGAACTAATTATAAAAGTAAAATATTTAGAATACGTAGTTAGTAAAAAATATTCTATCTTAAGCATCTATTGAAAAGCTGAGGAACGTTTTGTTTATTTAATTTTATTCTCCTGCGCCAACCCCTAACAAAATAGGTAAAAATTTTGACAGCTCCTTAGAAGCTTTGCCTCTGTACATTTTTTGTACTTATGTATGTGAAAACGTTTATCAGCATTTGAATAGATACTTAAGATATAATATTTTTTTACAAACTACGTATTCTAAATATTTTACTTATATAATTATTGTTCTTCAACAATTTTTGTGGCTTTTAATTCAATGGTAAATTATAAATGTAATGGAAAGTTGTTTTTTAAATAATCTATTGGAAAGCACTCGCATTTCCTAACAAATATAAACTCTTGCACACGTTTTAATATTTCACTACCAATATTTGCAATTCTTTTTTCAAGTTCAAAATATTCGCTAAATTTTTGCTCAAGCAATTCAACAAACGCGATAAAATTTGCCAGGAAGTATTATAAAAACCTTATTGAACACTATCTTTATTAAAATCTTTGTAATGGCTGAAAAAAGAATCTTTTCCCATATTTATAAATTGTTCAAATCTTTTAACTTATCAAACACTAATTTGTGGTGTTCGAAACAATATTTCCTATACAAATATCCCGACACATAGGCTAAACCATTTTATTCTGGCAAATCAAATAGATAATCATAATATATAATAGATAATCATTTGTTCCTATATTAACACAGGGGCAGTAACATCGTCAGTTTGCGGTGATGTTATATTAAAATACGACAATCGTCTGGTTTCGTAACATATCTAAATTGTAATGATTTCTTATATTTACGTGAACACTACAAATTGTTCTAAAGTACCCGAAACGTCGGGAATCAATAAAAACAATTAAATTAAACGCGATAGAATCGATTATAAACATCTTATTGAAAAAAAATATCAACATGTTGGTTCCTGGCAGTTATCACCCGCGTGTCTGACTTTTCCAAAGAAATTTTCGAGACAATCTTGATTGAGGTGTCTCGTAAATATAAATTAATTTAATTTCTTCTAATTTTAATTGTTGATGAAGTTTTATTAAATATTTTATAAACACTTGGAATCCATGAATGAAATTCACGCTATTTGTAACGTCTTTCTGCCTATCACTTCATCATATCATATCGCATCAAAAAGCTCTTTTATATTTATTAGGAGATCGCAGTGTACTTGAGTGTAAGAAATCATACAAATTATTAATTTTAATTACAAAATCAGCGGTACTCCTTGCGGCAACCTCCAGGTTTAAATCTACGTAAGTACTAGTAAACCATATTTACACTTTTTTATATTTCATTTGATACGAATTATTCTTTAAAAAACAAAATTTGACCTTTATTATTTTTTACACAACCCTGAAGTTTGAGCACTGACCGAGCCGGTTTAAAGCAGTTTCTCTCTGTACGTGACGAGCTACCAGTGCTCACGCACACACGCACCTCAAGCGTGTAGTAGTGTATCTATCACAGCGCGGTTTATTTACTCATGTGCCTCGACCATGTAAGTAAAGAAACTGTACAAAGGCAATGCTTCTAAGGAGCTGTCAAAATTTCTACCTATTTTGGTAGGGTTGGCACAGGAGGATAAAATTAAATAAACAAAACGTTTATCAGCTTTGATTATCTACATAAGATATAATATTTTTTTATAAACTACATACTTATGTTGAATATTTTATTTTATAATTTTAGTTATTCCACAATTTTTAGTGCCTTTTAATTAAATGGTAAATTATGAATCTAATGTTTTTTTTAATAATCTATTGGAAATCACTCACATGGCATAACAAATATACAGTCTTGCAAACATTTTAATATTTCATTATCAATATTTACAATAATTATTTTAAGATCAAAATATTCGCAAAATTTTTGCTCAAGCAATTCATACATTTATATACATACATTTTCTCAATGGCTGGAGCTCAAATATCACCGTTATTTGTCAGCATGTTGAGTTTTGGATAATCATTTCCAAATAAATAGGTTGCAGGTATTTCTTTTAGAAAACCTAAGACAGGATTTTTCGAAGTGATCGCCACGGAGTCTATATTGTTGCCTTTTTTATAATCAAATAGTTTTGAAAGGCGATCTTCTCGTCTGACAGCTTTTAACCACTCTTTCAGTCTGAAATAATAATAATAAAAAACATGAACCCACGTATTTAATTTATAAATACAATTATTCAATTATAAACATTATAAAAATAACTGTTTAATCACTTATTGGAAGGTAAGTCACTTATAGATGAGTAATAAATTATAGTAAAGTTACTACTTACATATTTTGAGATAATTTAAAATAAAAAATAAACAATTCTATTTGTTCTATTATTGTTCATACAAATAGTACAGTAGATCATATTAACACTTTTTATATTTCATTTGTCACGAATAAATCTTTAAAATATAATTTTACGCTTATTATTCTTTACATAACCCTGAGCTTGAGCACTGGCCGAGCCGGTTTAAAACAATTTCTCTCTGTACGTGGTGAACCATCAGTGCTTACGCACACAT